AGAAAGAGATAATGAACACAGAGGCAGAGAGAATGAGAGAACAAGAAGTAGTTTTGTGAAAAATGCAGTGTCTGAATTGACCGGCGAGAAGGCGAGGTGACAATGATGGTGATGATGACGATAAAGTAAACATCCAATGGAGTTCGTGGAGCACACCACTGCAAATCCGCTCAGGAAAGTCCGGGAGCAGTAAGTGGCAAGACAGTTGGCGAGGAACCAGGAAGCAAGTAGCAGTGACGATATTTCCGACAGATGCACTCCGGTCAACCGCTTCTACCTAGAAACAGAGAAAAAAATGAAACGTCGGTTAGTTCCCGAGGAGGACAAAAGTAAGAGAGTGGAAACAAGGGTGCATCAACGCTGACTGGTCGCTCTCCAAGGTTGATCGGAAAATCTTGGGGTGAATGTTGGCGACCTAGACTGACAACGTCGGCAAGTTCCAGATAAGAGAAAATGAAATCCTTGCGTTTATGGCCCATTTTAACAAAAATTTCCCGCTTCTGTCAGGCTACGGTACTCAGATTATTTGCCGCTGGACATTCTGCTTACGACAAGCGCATTCTCTCTCTCCAAATATCCATTTCGTCGTCATCTACCTGAGGTGCCGACTCAGCGACGAAGAGTATACACTCAACCTTACGTGGGGAGTCCACAGCACATATTAAACAATTTATAAATCTGACTTGTTTCTCGATGGGGAGCGATGTTGCAGAAACAGTGAAATACCTCCTGCGTATTCTTCGCCCTCCTCATCGTCAGTACAGGTCTCATTTCGTCCGTGTTCACTGCCACGCCTTTCGCGACGGAAGGACGTCCGTTGGTGGCCAGGCCGCGCCTTGCCGGCCATTGCGTCGTCCAGCACAGCACAGCTCACCTCCGTTCTCTCCAGCCGGTCAGCGTCATTTTCAGCCCTATTCTCGACCTGGGTATCGCTCTTGCTGAACTCCGTCTCCCCTTGCTTCCGTTTCTCCGCTTCGTGCTCCTGCGCCTCTTCCCCCTCCTCCTCAACTTCCTCCTCGATGAGGGAGTCCTGCTCCACGACATGAGCTTCAGACCCAGTTGCCTGGTTCGAATCCTGCTCGTCTATTTCAGGGACTGCCCCATGTGGGTGCGATGTCCCGTCAGGTTCGGAAACTGCTACCTCCACTTCCTCATCCTCCTCCTCTTCGCAAACATCGGCCTGTGGTGTATTGGCCCCAAAGTCGTATTCTTCCTCTTCCTCCTCCTCTGTCTGTTCCTCCACCTTTGCCGGTTGATGGAGTGGAGAACAGGCGTTGGCAGGTCGGGAGAGAACCGAGGTTTCGGAGACGACGGCGGTGCAGCATCCACGACCGCGCTGGAGGTCCTTACCGGCGGTGGAGACATGTTGACGTTTCGGGGAAGTAGGACGCGCACTTTCGGAGACCGCGGTGGTGGACGAGGAGGGAGACGGAGGCTGTGAGGGAATTGCGTAAATAGTAAGGCTGTGCTCCGTGTGACAATGGGAGACCAACTCCCAGGCGCTTGAAAAGGTGTCGCCACAGTACGCACAATCAAGGCAGTCTGGTTCGCCGTCTGAAGGGAAAGGAGAAAAAAAATCAGGTGGTCAAAAGGGCCATCGTCAGAGGGAAAAGACGCGGGAATAGGACAGAGTGCAACCAGCATCGTCAGCACGGCCAGTTCAGTCTGACCCTGGGTCAAAACAGCTTCTAGACTAACTGCCAAAAAGAGGTTGGCGCGTCGAGTTAAAGAAGTGCGCATTAAGGACCGGCTGTAAATGGCAGTTAGACGTTGCGTCTCGCGCAGTGGTTCCTACCTACAGAGAGGACTATGGTCTCCATCCTAGCAATTATACCACGTTAAAGGCAAAAACGTCACAGAGCGCACTTACTCCTTTTGCATCGACAGGTCAAGCCATTTTCCTTGTTGATTGAACAGCCGGCCATCTTGTGAGCAATCAGAACGTCGACGCTTTCGAACAGATGGCGACACTGACCACAGATAAGGATGTCTTCGGAGTAGAGATGACAGCGTTGCTGTTGTTGTTGCTGTCCTTGCTGTTGTGGTTCTCCTCCGGCTGGATGTGCTAAAAGGAAAATGGCATATCAGCAAATGTAGTCTCCACCACCATGAAGACAGAAAACTGACGCACACCAAAGCCACTATGCACTCATCCAAGCATGTCAATTTGTGGGGAAAAAACGAGTTTAAATCCTACGCTTTACTAGTTTCCAGCGGGAATCGCGTCTTCAGACTAATTCAAGCACGATCACAGAGACGAGGATGCAAGGTGAAACTCAACAGACTGTAATTTCTAGTCCGGAATCACAGTGGAATATTAATCAACATGAAACTGAAGAGGTATCGAGCTGTCGCCCTAACGATACGAAGGGAGGCAGACAAGCATGCTGTCTATCAAAAGCAGCACTTCTTTCCGACTGTAAAAACTGCAATCAAGGAAAAATGACGACTTAAGTAGCGTACACTCAGTACATTGACTTTTGATGGCTTTACAAATCCAAACGTATTTTATAGAACAAATGCACAAAAACATGCTTCTACTAATTTGGTAGCAAATCACATCGTCTTTACATTTTATGCCTGAAGAAATGACATCGTTCGGTCTTTAAAAAGGTTCTAATTACTGAGATTTCACAAGATCGTGCAATGTCCGCTCATACAGTATCGTATTTGTCTGTTTATCAATGCTCCGCATGAAGTATGCAACGTAAGGTATGCAACGCAAAAGTATATGAAATCTACATGGTATATCTTTAAAGGTATCGTGAAATATGCAATTTTTACCAAGCGGAAAGCATACACCTTGTAGACTGAAATCGCTAAACGCTAATGCAACGGCTGATATGACTCAAAATTAATCGGGAAATGGAACACTTTTTCAAAACCGAAAGGTACTCTTCTTTCGAGTACAACATGTAAAGACGACGCGATTTGTTACCAAATGAACAAACGAAAGCATATTTTGTGCTTGTTTTCCATAAAACTTATTTGAATTCACAAGGCCGTCGAAAATCAGTGTGAAAAATGCACACTACTTAAGTGTCAGTTTTTACTGAGTGAATCGAAAAGAAATGAATCCGAAAGTCCACATCCTGGCAAGTCAAAATATCATAGGATTGTGCCTCATGCTAATCAATTTTGAAATCCCACCCAAGCAATTCTTTCGAGCCGAAAACGCATTGTAGAATTTCGGGTAACATTTCATGCGATTGGTTTGTGACTGCACCCGTTTAAATAAATAAATAAATGAAATAATTTTATTCAAAACCCGTCGGGGTCCCATCAAAGCGAACACCACAGTAAAACATCGGGCAAGTTGTACAGCGCATTCACTCAAAATGGCATTACCGACAAAAACAAGGGAGACTGGAATGACCATTTCTGGCTTATTAGCCGTCGTCAGCCGGGTCATACCCAACCCCGAAGTGTGGAACACTCGAGACTCGAACTCGCGTAAGGCACAACGGAATGAGTGAATTCCGTATGAACGATCGGTGAGCGCCCCCTACCATAGTAAGACTCATTCCAACCAATCACACCCTTTTTTATTTTGGTACTTTCAAAATGACCAAAACGCTCAATAAACGGCAGGGGTGGAGGAGTCGCAATTTTTTGTCAATCAGGTGTGAAAAATAGACCTCGCTACCTGGCTCCGATCGTTCAGTTTCAGTCGGTCTTTCAAAAATCACTCCGATTTCAAGAGGGTGAGTCGGGTAGCAACGATCACTTATACAATTTTTTCGAGATTTACAATGCAGTGAGATTAGACTGTCGTATCGTTTAATGCTCACATTTTCTATGCTTTCTCGCACTTAACCATGCTAGTCATGGTGACAGGACGCCTTTGCGAGAAATTTTGAAGTGGCTTTAAGATAAGGCTTAATGTTTCTCTCTAGGTCTCTTTCATAATCTGACAGTTCAACCGTGGCAAACAACGAGGTTCATCAGTGCCCCGGGCGGCGGACGTGAGACTACTTACGACAAAGTGAACTGTATACGCGGCACAAAGTCGGCGAAACACGCGTGTCTGGGCTTCTAACTAATACCTGAGTTGTTAGTACGGTAAGTAATTACACAATCTACCTCACCCTCTACACACCTTCCAGCTACCGATGGCAAGGTGAAGACGACCAGTGGAGGCATAAACACAGATATTGTTAAACGGCCCGTATACCCAAGTCACGCGACTTGCTACCTACATCACATATGACAGTTTTTAATCAGAGGAGCCTAGGGCTCACTGCAGGTGAGTGTCACAAAGGCCACGTTCAGTAATTAGTGCAGATTGACGCTCAGTTCTGAGCAGGACTGGCATCTCGGAAAGAATTTCGGATACGACATTTGACGCATCACGGCAACTTAGGACGTCTGATTTCGTAAAGTACGAAATGTGTTGATTTGCCATGAGAAGGGATACCTCACAGTTTCATTCTACATGTACTTATACATACTAACCTTTCCTCTCCAAACTTCCGCATCTCGTTCGGGCAAATGCGGACAAAAAAGCAATTGACAAGGCGCTATCCGACAGCAAAATACCATGCGGAAAACTTTGCCATCATCGCTAACGATCGGCGACGCATCCTGTGTGCGGTGCCGGTTAGGTGGAGGCGCTGCACTACACGTCAATCATCTTCAGTGAGAGGGAAGAGGGTGAGATTGACCCAGCTCCCAGTCAACTTCTGAGGTTCCCACAATAAACAAAATGTGCCTTGAAACTCCCACGACGCGTTATCAGTGGCAACCAGCTGACGAAATAACTCGATCCTCCCTAAGGACGGAAGTCAGACCGCAATGGCTCCTTAATGTTGCCTTTGTGGCATTGTTAATTTCTGTGAGATCCGAAACCGCTATCTTCCCCTGAAGTCTGACAAGTATGGAGTTAGGGATAGTGTCGTGGGTGGCATGTATCAACGGGTTGTTTAATCTTGTTAACATTCGCGCCCGAGCTAATCTCTAGTTGTCGCTGTGTCTCGACACTAGAACACAGTGGGTAGATGCATCAGAAGTAGATTTACGCGTAAATCCCCACTGGCCCTCATCCGGGACAGTGACGGTCGAAAATCAAATCAAAAATCCGCTAAAGTGCACAGCGCAGGTGCGATTTGCGAGCACGGTTTGGGAGTCAAATCGGCTCGGCATTCTACCGTGCAGTAACTTTGAAAGCTGCCTTATCAAAGCAATGTTTGTCATTTGAAGTATACAGAGTGATCTTGATCAGTTGTTCATGAGATTAAGGGGCCTACTATACACGGGCTAGAAACAGTAATTTATGACATTTGAGTCCCCTGCCAGTAGTCCCCATCAAACGCACTTAACCCAGACACTACCGAATTTGTAGGTTTACTTGAGTCTCTCAGGAGTCCAAGCAATGCTCTGACTAAAAGATACCCAGGCGTCCCTCGGGAAGACCGAGGTTGAAAGCAAAGAATCCACTGACTACTGAGACGTCCACGGTTTTACTGCAAATGCTGAAGCTACACTAATAGCACGATCTGAACTTTATACCAGAACGAGTCATACAAAGGGGCGGCCAACGAGGGCGTCCTTCAGCACCTCAGAAACATAATGACTTACCATATCCGTTGCTACTTTGCCGTCGATCAGTCTCCTGGCTGCCGCCCACCTTCATGTCAGAGAACTTCGCAGCTATACCGTGTGTGTACTTTTGGGTGTTGTTATTATTGTGGCTGGTGGAAGCGGTGCTCGACCGTGAGGTTGTCGATGGCAGCCTCGATGTTACAGAAAGGGGAGCTGAGGATGCAACAGTGGAGGACGTCCGAGGAGTAGCACGTGTGGTGGGTGGGAAAGGATCCTGTTTAGGAGTAACCAGGGAGACTAAATTGGCCGATCTAGCAGCAGCAGCGCCCGCCGGAAGACCGGAGTTCGCACTGCCGCTGCCGCCACCGCCGCTAGAACCCGTCTCGAGGCGGGTTCTTTTCGCTGACGAAGAGGAGGCGGAGAGGGAATTCAGGCCAGATCCACGATGAGGATTAGGCATGAGGGACTTATACCCGGTGCTAGATGGGGATTTTTGAGAACCACCACCGCCAATAGCAGCCTGTCCTAGAAGAGGAGGGACTCCGCTATTGAGGACATTCATGGCGGGTATGAGGCCAGTAAGGTTGGCAGCTGCTGCGGCAGCAGCTGCAGCCGCAGCCGGATACTGTGAGGCTGCCAGGGACAGAGAAGGTGCGGTGTTATTTGAAAAGCCCAGGTGCGAGAATTGCCCACCAACAGCGGCTAAAGCCTGGGCTTGCAGTGCCAGATCCAGAAAGTTCTGTGCCGATGTACTGGGGGAAAGAAGAAAAGGACAAGTGACAAATAGCAGGAAAGGAGCAAGCCTCTGATCAAAGGGCGCAACATTGAAACCCTCTTTCAGTCTGCCTACCGGCTACCTGCCGTCGAGTTTCCCTTCAAAAAAGTGAGTGACTAAATCTGCAAATGAAAACCCGACGGATAAACTGTTGTGGATAAACGATGATACGACTGCATCTTTACTACTACAACATAGGAGCACCACATAGAAACCTATACTACGAATGAAACGTGAGGTCGTTGCATGAGAGTGGCATATCGGTGGTAATTGCGCTTTGGTTTAGAGCTCTAGCCTGGAATGGTCGCAGGTGGCCGCGTAGCCACGAGCGACCAGTAATCGAGAAGTGCTGTCGACAAAGTGGCGGAATAGAAATACAGAGAAGCACTACGGTACTATAGTTACATGACTCCTGACAGCTCACTCGCCGGGCCGTCTAGCTGGCTTAAGTGACCAGGTCAGAGGGATGCTCTATCATCCGTCATCCACGCACTTATTATGGTCAAAAACTAAGTTGTCAAACAACACTTCATGTAGAATAAGGCTACCGATAAAGACAAGAGGGATTGGAATGGCCATTAGTCGTCGTCAGCCAGTCATACCCAAGTGTGGAAACACCTGGGGCTGGATTCCGCGACCTGTTCTGTAATACGATCGGTGAGCGCCCCTCTACCAACACTTTATAATTCAATTCAATTATTTTTTCAATTCAATTATTTTTATTAAAGACCCGTCGGGTCCCATCAAAAGTTATTAAAGTTATATATAAAAGTTATATAAAGTTATTAAAGTCCTATGCTTGAAGATTCAAGGTCCGGATATTAAAAACAAACAGGTTACTACTCTATGATATGCCTTTCTCTGTATAGCCGCCAAGAAAAGGGTACTTTGATCGGTGGAAAATTCGAGTCAAATGATTTAAAACCAGCTCACGGGCTGCAAAAGTAGACAAATATAGTCCATAAAAGATGAAGGCGAACTCAAAGAACCGGCGTGGTGATCAAATTAGTGCAGTGGAACGAGCTTGAGACAAACTTGAGGTAACAAATTCGAGGTCATTGAAAAATGAATGCGCGGGGTGAATGGGTTTGCGTAAGAGTAGCTGCGTGAAGGACAGGAGGCGAACATTAGGACAAAATGTCGAGGCCTAATGCCCTGGTGCTAACTTTTGGTATTTCCCGATAAAGCATGGAGCTTTCACATCCACGTTGCAAAATAAAATCAAATTGGATAAATTTTGGGAGTCAGGAGAAAGAGAATTTACAAATCGTGTCCTAAGGTAGAAAGGGGGACTTCCGGAAGAAGAGGTGAAACTGCAACTATGGATCAAAATTCTGTTCAAACTGATGATCAGGAAAGGATGCAAGAGGCAGGAAAACTTGAAAACAAAGAGGAAGGTCGTACAAAACAATCAATGGAATCGAGAAACAGGTTCAAAGAAGCTTACCAAACATTCTGTGTCGCAGCTGGGCGACCGCGTTTGCGATTCTTTGGTTCTGAGGCTATGGTTACATCTGCATTCAAAAAATAAAGTTTTGAAAATCTGCAGGGAAAAAAGTGCAGAGTGAAAAATTGCGGGAAGAAAAGAGGTACTTCAGGACTGAAGGAAACTTCAGGTTGGGCAGTTTGGAGGAAAAGGATAAAATCAAGCACAAAGTAGTCTGTAACTGGAAAATTTAACTGTCTGCTAATGAGTTAACGCAGCAGTTGACTAAGTAGTTTGGATCGGCCGTTGGAAAGTGAAGTTTGAAAATCAAAGTTGCGAGCAAAGTAAGCTCTTTTGCTGGGGTCACGCAACACCACAGAGGCAACCAAAGGTGAAGAGAAAAGGACAATACTGCGGCGAAATGACTCCTTGAAAAAGGTAATATGAAACATCGCGCTCCGGATTCAAGTAGTTTTGAAAAGACAAGTGAGCAAGCGTCAACCGAATAGATTAGGGGGGTTTTAAAAAAATGGGTAGCTTCTAATTGCGAAAAGCAGGTGACACTCAGGACAAGGAAAAAAGTGCCATGAGTTCCCGCCTATCGGCTCTAGCTAGAGATTGGGTAAATAAAGTAGAAGTCGGAGGTACAAAAGATGAGTCCCCGTCCAGCGGCCAAAAAGGAAGCCGAATCCCATCAACGCACATACAAGCCTGAGACAAATACACATAAGGAATCGGAAAAGGCAGGAAATCCGTCTCATCAAGATTACCGAGTTTCATTCCGTAATATGTGTTCATGTCCTCTGCTTTGACGGCAGCTCTAGCATGTGCTTCATTGGCATACTGGATAAACGCGTATCCTTTATGGACGGATATCCCAATAATTGCACCGAATTTCGAGAATATAGCCTCTAACTGAGGTTTTTGCATATGCAATGTATTTAGGTTCCCCACAAAAACACGGGATCTAAGGCTATTAGGATCCGTCCTGTTCGTTATGTTAGAAACCCCTATCATCTTGAAAGCCGAGTACGGTTGAAGTGGGCGGCAAGAAGCGAAACAAACAAACACAGATTTCCTTATTCTGATAGAATTCCGATGCGACTTCGATACAGGTTACTAAGGCAATAGGGAGATCGGCCTTTTAGACGATACAGAAGGCCTTCTCTACAAAGACGAATAATTAAATTCCATATTGAACAGGCAGGGTAGAACTTATCAATTAATTCACGATGGTCAAATCTTGTGGTGTCCGTCCCGAAAATGTTGTGCTCATCCTCGACAGAGAGCCTTAAAGTGAAACTTGACACACTCAATCTCTAAAATGAGCCTGTGAGATGACTAAGTAAGCCCTTAACATCGAATGTTCTCACCGAAGAAACGGACGTTCACGAAACCTAGCAAGTAACGGACGAGGCCAGTGAAATTGCGTCTACGACAGCGCAGTAATGCCCACAACCATGACAAACGCAGTCAGAAATTCAGCTGGCGCAAAATTAATGTTTGTATAAAAATGCTTAAAGCCTCATCTCGACAAATGGAGAACTAAAACTCTGCCTTCCTTAGCTGCTCCTGGATGCTATTAGCAGTAAATGAAGTCCGGCTGTACGGGAATATTAACGATAGCGAAATAGCCTCAACTGGGTAAAAGGTACATCGGAGGGACACAGAACACTGTCGGGCACCTGATGCGGATTTTTGATTAAGTTCTTTCTAGAAGTCGCTTCTTATGGCCGGGTATAATTTTTTCCTGTCTTAATAGACAGTCTGTTAAATTAGCTACATTCTGCGAGGGGTTTCCTTATTGACGTCATGTCAGACTGTCTCTTTCTAGCTGCTGTGGTAAATTCACAGTAGTATTCGTTGCTTCATGTTTTTTTATTGTAAGTTAGCAGCGTTTGAATCCTTGGACGAGAGCTCACGGTCTCCTCGCCAACTCGGAGTGCTAAAGTCCTGGCCGTAGACACAGCGGGTGCCGACGAGGGCTCGCTGTTTTCTCCAGATGTAGCTTAATCAAAAATCCCGTTAGTCCACATAGAACTCTTGACCCCTTAGTCGCTCAAATATACGCCTCTGCTAATCGTAACAGAACATTATCCGACGAAATACCAGATCACTTGATATATGGCGATATAAACAGCACATCGGAGAAAGCTATTGAACAGGCGTTTAAACTTATTGGGGTGATAAACTCCGTAGCTGAGGAGAGGATAAAACGCAAGCGTAATCGTATACTGCGTGATATACTGAATCGTATATCTGGTATTGAGGGTGCGAATTTGGTCCTGCAAAGTTGTAACTTAGATTTCAGTGTCACGCAAGCTAAGCGAATACGCTCACGCAACCGTAATGCGTCGATACTAGTTACTCTCTTCTACTAAATAGAAGTCGACTTAATCCTGTCGAGGAAGGAGATAACTAGATATTTCTTCCACAAATGACATTGTTCAGTCTCCTCATGTGTCATACCAATTCAGAGAACACTGAACAATTTTTAAATGTCGAAACCCAACATCGACATAGCGGCCCCTGTTTTCATGTTAAATAAGTCTTCTTCGAAATCATCTATGACCTCACCACGCCATAACATAGTTAATTCAGTAGGGAACTCGACTAATCCTCATGCTGAGATCTTTAAACGCTACAACACGCATCGTATACAAACACCCCTACAGTCTCCGCTAGGAACCTTAAGTAATCCAAAGCAATGACCTAATTCAAAGACGAGTCAGAGTGCAACTTTAGTTCAATCGAACAATGGGCAAATTCGGCCGCCCTAAGAAGTCGTCCACTCCACAGTCGCCCGTCACTCCTGCGAACTACACGGACTCGAATATAGCGTTTTCCCAACTACCCCCCGAACCTCACATCCTAGCGGATAAGTTGAATATGTCCTCATACGAATGTCCATAGTGGGTCAGCGGACTCACCCGATCCTCAGTTTTACTTTCAGTGGAATACGTTACAGTATCCTGACTGTGGATTTCCAGTAAAAAATCAGCCAGCTAACGATAATAATCAATTTTCCTGCCTTTCATTTACTCCCCCAAATCCTATTCCTCTTTATCCACCTCAGGCTATTTTGATGCTACAGCGTATTTAGCAGAACCGGACACATGCATTCGGACCCTGTGTTACGTGAGCAGTCAACCACTGGACGACTTAGCTCTCACTTCCTCAGAAACAAACAGTCTTCCCCCCTAAACTTTTTGTCCTAAATGCCAGATCCTTGCTAAATAAGATGCCTTTGCTTCGAACTCTGGCGTTCGTCCATTGTCCAGATATTGTCTTAGTAAATGAGACAGGAAAAAAGTCTCCGTAGCTGATTCCGAACTCCGAGTCCTCTACTCTATGATATGCTTGCATTCGAAATGATCAAGACAGCCGTGGTGGGGCAGCTGCATGTAAGTTAAGCAAGCATCTGCAATTCTGCCGCTGGACCTCCTACATTTTTTCACAGTAGAAGGCAGCTGTGAATTCAAAGTTGCTTTAAAATAAGTACTCTTTACTCGTTGACTGCATCTGTCGCCCACCCATCGCCAGTGGGGATTTTAATTGTTATCTCTCACAGGCATTTCATGCTTTGGACGATTAAAACTTTAAGAATCAGCTGATTTCGTATAACGGTAATCTTCCTGAAGTCCACCGGTCTTTGCCCACCCGCCCCGAAGTGTTCGAGGACTTCCTTGTGGTTCTAGATGTTCGCAAGTGGAGTTAGGTTTTCCAACTTCCCACCCGAGGATTAGGCATACCTGACCTCATTTTCTGTAGAGGTTGCATGCCTTTGTCGGTGTCATCCCTAAGTCTACTAGGGGGGTCAGACCATGGCATAGTTCTTTCAACGTTAGAACTCGAGGCTGACAAAATGTTGTCCTCAAAGTATAGCTTCTTCCTCGATTTCCGATAAGCCCGATTGACCGAATCAATAACGCACCTTAATTCCTACGATTGGACTGGTTTCATCCTAAGTTCGGATGTACATGTTTGTATTGCTAAACTGTACATAATTTTGGATCCACTTAATTCTCGTTCTGTCCCCCGTAAGAAAAAAATTAATGTTTGGGAGGAGGTTTTCCCACCCTTAATCTTTCGCCGCAGATTGCGCGGAACTTCTCGTCGCTTCCATCTTCAGAAAGCGGCTTCCTTTCTACCCTCAATTTGTGCTATTTTTGAGCGGGCAAGGAGACTGTCCTAGAAAAACAGCTATCGGAAGATGTCCAGCTCACTGAAAACCGTTCGTTAAATGTCCCGAAACTCTTCTCCCAAAAAGTACGAACTCACCGAAAAACGCAGCATCCCACCCTCCGAGACGTTCTCGGGAATCCATTTGACCAGTAGTAGTTTCAATGCTTTCCTATCCAAAACGTTTATTAAAAACTCAACTGCTCCGCTACCGATCATCCAAGCATTGACCGGGACAGTTCTCAAAACTATAACTTTCACTCTGTGGGACGTAACTGTACCGATTAGGCGTTTTCGTTACTCGCACAGCCCTGGCCCTTATGGTGTCCCAGTTAGAATTCTAAAAGCGGATGCAAATGTAATTTTCCCATCCCTCTTATGCATGATATTTAATCTCGCTCTTAAAAGAGGGACCTATCCCACCTTGTGGAAGGAATCACACACTTTTCCAGTTACTCTGCACAAACGAGACAATGTTTCTCCGTCCCTTCACAGACGTACTGCCAACTCCAAGCATAAGTGGTATAATCTTTAAAGAACTATTATCCGAAGAAAATTAAGGGTATAGAACGAATTTTCGGCTCAGTTCGGTTTATTTAGTGAAACAGGCATAAGCCCTTTAGTACCCTATTTGCAGCGTAAAAGTGTGTGGTGAGCAGAAAAAATTCATGGGCTAAAATATTTAAAACGAGCCCATAATGGTATGACAAAATGGGAGTGAGTTAAAGCACATGAGCTGGATCACTCGTTGCTCTTGTTCATTCCGGAATATGAACAGGTAGAGGTTCCTTTTAAAGCCTTGTATAGATGGTGACATAGTAACGTCTGCAGTAACTGCATTCCATGCTTAGACAACTCGACCAGAGAAGGGGAACTTCCGAACGTCCAGCCTTGCCTGATGAGTGCGAAGTTTTAACGGGTGACCTCGGAGGTTGGTTTTGGTAGCAAATTCAAAAAAGTCCTCGGAGGCCAGGCTGCAATCCAACCCTTTTACAATGCAGAATGTTTGCAAGAGATACCCGCGAAGTTGCCTACAACTAAAAGAGAAGAGGTTCAGATTTACTAGGCAGGTTGCATAAGGAAAGGAGCTTTGACCCCTAACTATCTTTGTGGCTCTCCTGTAAACACTTTCTAGGCAATTTCGATCTTTAACTGTCCACGGTCTCAAGGCTTGCATACCATACTCCAAGTGCGGCCGCACAAATGTTCCTGAAGTCTTAGACAAAGCGTCTTTGTAAAAATCCATAACTTCACACACGATGGCGTACAATACGGACATTGCGCTCTTTGCCACTCTCAAACTATGTGCGGATGGTTTTAGGGAGCCCGCCGTCAGCACACCGAGGTCCCTTTGAGTTTCGACGTCTCGTAGAGCTGTACCGCCCAGAAAGTAGTCTCTTGTGCTGGCGGACCTCGATGTGTTGCCTAGGAGACGTATGCCGCATTTACCGACATTTAACTGCAGGACCCAAACTTTTGATCAATCTGCAGTCTGCCTTCGTGGGAAGGGTCCTGGATTACATTTCATATCTCCAGGACCAGACAAGATTCCGCAAATTTTTCCGTGCTTTTGTTGATGTTCTTTCAGAATTCATATG